ACCGATCAGCCCGAGAGCCGTCTTTCCATCCTGGGGATCAAACCCACAGCCTTCACACTGAGCTACTTCCCCAGCGCTTTTTAAGTTCCAAGACCGGGTCTTGCTAAGTTGCTCAGTCTGGGCTCCCGCTCTGGCCTCCCTGGGTCTGTGTTTTGTCTCTCTTTTCAACTGCTCAGTTTGGCTTGAAGCATAATATTCAGCAGAGAGCCTGGGCACACGCTGGAGCCACAGTGCAGCCAGCGCCTGGCTGGGATGAGCCCGGGCAGCAGGGCCTGCAGCTGACTCTCGGGAGAGGGCTGCTGCACTGTGACCCGCGCACATGACTCCTGCCTCACTGCGCTCCGCGTCTGCAGCACCAGGTGAGGTGAGCTGGGCAGAGATGCAGCAGGGGCTGCCCCAGGAGAGGGAGGCTTTGGGAGCTAGGGGGCATGGGACCTCCCTGTCAGGGGAGCCGGTGGCCTCTGGGTTGTCAGGCCCGAGCGAGGGGTGCGGTGACATGAAGAGGCCTGTGTCCCGTCCTCTAGGAGGAACAGGGGCGCCCCTGGCGGGCCCTGTCCTCAGAGAGGTGCCACTCAGAGCGTGCAGGTGAGGCAAGGCGCTGGGTGGCCAGCAGCACCCCAGAACTGTCCTCTGGTGGGCTGCGTGCAGCAGACACAGCTGGTTAGGACCAGGAGGGGGACGGTAGCAGGGCCAGGGGGCAGGGAGGAGCAGGTGAGGGGCTCGGCATGCACAGAGGTAGGAGGAGGCTGGACAGGTGTGGCTGCCCACGGTGCAGTCCCGGCCATCAGCTTAGCTGGCCCCGAGTGGGCACTTGCTAATTGGCAGCTGCGTACACAAGAGACACAGGAAGGCCCACCTCGGGCAGGGGTGTGCCAGTCATGCAGGTCACTGTGACGGCTGGGCCACGGCCTGTGCCACCCGGAGGTGTGCTATACCTCTGAGGCCCCTGGCCGCCGCAGCCTGGGGGTGTTCAGAAGCCAGCGCGCCCCATCCCTGCCCTCCCATCCTGGCTGCCCCTCTGTCCCTCCGTCCCCTGCAGACGTTCTCCTGACAGAAGCTGACAAGAGCCATTTCCAAGATGGATTGACTCAATTTAGCACAGTTTCTGCTGGATTTGGTGACGTATGGCTCCCTGTTGGGACCGCAGTGAATGTGACTCTGAAGAGGGAGGGTTTATTAGGCCGGGCGGCACCGAGCAGGTGGGGCCTGGGTGACATCGATGCTGTCCAGAGCCTGCTGTGGACCCCAGACCCCCGCGGCATTCCCCTCTGGGGGCTGAGGCCTTTCAGGAGGAGGTGCTTTGTGAGCGGCTTCTCCCTGTACTCCAGGGCCTGCATTTCCATCTGTTCCCAGAAGCCAGGCTCTGCTGCTGCGGGAGTCCAGAGCTGAAGACAGCTCTTCTGGGCTGAGATGTTTTGAACAGAGGTGGTGGCTGCCGGCTGCCGCCTGAATCCCAGTGTGAGCGTGCGTGGGTGCTGCACACGCCCACCCAGCCTGGCCACATGCACTGTGGGTGGTGACCTCTTGTCCCCACAGTGCTGCGCAGTGAGTGTGGCAACCATTCTGGCCTCTACCCTGACATGACAGGACAGGGCTGCCTCTGAGGGCGCTACTGAACAGATGCCTTGGAAGCTTAGTCAGTGTTAGGGAGGAGAGACCCCAAGTGTGGGAGCCATGCAGAGCTCCATCCCACCCAGTGCCCCAGAGTCCTACAAGTCCTGCCTCTTCTTCCTTCAACTTCCTGGTGTCCCCTACCGCCAGCCCCAGGGCCTTTGCACCTGCCCTGCCCCCTGCCTATGGAGCTCCTCCCTAGATCTGCACCTGGCTCAGCACCTGGATCCTTCGGGCATTTGCTCACAAGTTAACTGGACAGGCCTGTCCTCGGCTGGCTCTTGAGGCCATCTGAGCTGTGGCCCTCAGGAGGTGTCGCCGCAGATTCTCGGAACCTGTGCCTGTTCCCTGCTTAGGAAGGTGATCTGGGGCCCTGTCTGCTCTCACGAGCATCCTAGAAAGATGATGTCACAGGTGACTTAGGGCCCAGAGGCAGAAATGGCAGGGACACGGCCACGGCCAGGGGACGGACACCAGAGCACTAGGAGCTGGAGGGAACCGGAAGGGGCCTCCCGGAGCCCGAGGAGGGAGCAGGGCCCTGAGGACGCCTTGCTGTCAGCTGGTGCTGCTGATTTCCAGCTGTGGCCTCCGGTGAGGGACACGTTCCCACTGTCTTAAGCAACCCAGGCTGTCACTGGTCCTGCAGCCCTGGGACACTTTGAGGCCTGCTCACGACTGCGCCTCTGTGGGAGCTGCTCAGCAGGCAGGGGCCTCTCGGGCGCCACGCAAGGACCGGGGCACAGCACGCGAGGAGGGAGCAAGGAGCTGGTGCGCTGCGTGCTATAACTGTGGGTGTTGTTGAGGCTCAGCCCTGCAGCGGGGGCACCAGGGTCACCCTGAAGCTTGGCCTCCTTCCTTGGCATTGTGGCTCCAGGGGTGAGCACAAAAGACTTGGAGTTAGTGCCAGGGCAGGGTGGCCGGGGGCCTCTCTCTGGGCCAGAGACCGCGTCTGATGCCAAGGCCCAGCCTCCCCTGGGGACACCAGCTGGCCTGCAGCCCTCTCTCCAGCACTGCTTTTGGGGTGGCTTTTGATAAGTGCCATATTTTCGTCCCTCTTTTGAGGCAAATAGCTGATTGATTGCTTTTCATCTCCCACTTTGAGTAGCTGTAAGAGCTACTTTATATAAACATCAATTATGGCCCATAATAAATGAAGGGTCCCTCGCCCTGTGCACATTACGGTCCGCTCCCGTATCGGAGCGCCACTGTCCCCCGCAGCGCCGCTGTGGGCCCGAGCTGGGTAGTGGGGCGGGCGGTGTGGGTGGAGACCAGTGCTCATTTCCCTGCAGATGGGCACAGGGTTGAGGACGGAGACACCGGGAGCCGTGGGGACAGGGGGTGGGTCACGGGCCAGGCCAGCCATAGCCTCCGCTGCTGCGGACTCACTCTGCGGGAGGCCCCTGCCTGCCTTGGTTGGCCCCGACCTGCTGATGTGCTGGGGACCACCCCTTGCCATGCCAGCGCGGCCCTGGGTCCCACTGACCCTTTGCACCTGGCCTCTCCCCCCCCTTGTGGGCGTGGCCGCTGGGCTCGGGGACCCTGACACACAGGCCTGGCTTCCTTTCCTCGCCATCCACAGCTGGGTGATGGTGGCCGCCTGCTCGGTGCCTCCGCCCCTGCGGGAAGCCGGTGTCTCTGAGGTCCCTGGAGCCTCTGCCGGGGCCTGTGAGCACCGAGGACCCCCTTGCACCTCCTCTTCTCGCGCTGTGCCCTGCCTGGAGCACACCCCTGGCTTCCCAACACCTCTTCCTCCGCCCTGAGCCTGCAGGGATGTGGGGACAGGTGGCCGCATACCCCCGCGTGGCACCCCGTGTGAACCCCACGGAGTGGCGGGACCCATGGTGCACCTGGGAAGCTGTCTCCTATATCAGTGCCAAGGCCTCAGTGGCGAGGCCCAGATTCTGCTGCAGGGTGCTGCTGCCCTGCGAGGACCCCCTTTGGGAACCACTGCGTGTGGGAACCCCTGGGGGACCCTGAGACCTCACAGACCCCGAGCTTCCTAGGGATTCCTGGGTACAGCCAGGGGCGCGGAGACTTCTGGGAGCTGTGGCTGGAGAAGAGCATCAGCCTTGGGCCTGGAGGTCAGGGTCCATGGGCACGCACTCCTCCCCGGAAACCCCAGTACTTTAGGGCTGCCCTCGCTCCTCCCCACCCCCACCTCCTTCCGCCTTTTCTCTGCCCTCCTCTCTGTCCTCCATGCTCTCCTCTTTTCCTTCTCCTTTTTGTGTGTGTTTCTTAGACAGTCTCACTCTGTAGTTCACGTTGGCATTGACCTCTTGGCGATCCTCCTGCCTCAGCCTGCCCAGTGCTGGGCTCCCAGGTGTTCGCCACCATGCCTTGCCCTTCCCCTACTTTGCCTCCTCTCTCCCAGAGGAGGAGGCCAGGGACACAGAGCACAGCACTGGTCGGGGTCCTTGGAAGCAGCAGTGTGTGGTTGGTGGCCCAGTGTCTCTGCACCCGAGCCGGCCCAGGATCCCTGTTCTGGGGCCACCTTGGAACTTAGGGAGGGGGTGCCCTGCCCTGGGGAGCCTGCAGGAGGCCTGGCCGCCCTGCTTGATGGCGGCCTCAGGCTCTGTGCCACCGGGAGGCCTTGCCAGGCTGTTGGACAGGACGGGGTTTCTCAAGGCCCTGTGCCCGCCTCCCTGCCCTCTTGGCCAGGCTGTGGTCGGGGCCCAGGGCTCCTCTCCAGAGGAGCTGGGGCCCTGCAGGGATCCCGGGGCCAGTGGCCAGGGGCTGAGTCAGAGGGTTTGCGGGGGGTGTGCCTGCCTGTGTGTGAGTGCACACGTGTGTGCCATGTACGCACAGGTCTGTGGGCTTGTGTGTCTGGATGTGGCCATGCGTCTGTAGGCCCACATGCGGGTGTGTGGCTGCATGTTCTCCCCAGGTGGTGCCGGGAGTGTGTCCCCATCATTCGCTTGGCTTTCGTGATTTGGGTTTTTGGTGGTTTGGTTTGGCTCGTGGTACTGTTGCAGGGTAGTTTCTTTAGAAAGGGCTCGCCATCGAAATTTTTCCAGGTTCTTCGTACCTGGAAGAAAGAATTGGACAAGATGAGCCCATGACGGTGCCAGAACGTGTATTTGAGAAGTGTGGAGTAAACAGGCATGGGAGAAACCAGCTCTGCAGAGCGAACTTGGGCCGAACCAAAAGGGGTAGAAGCAAAAGTGAACGTACTGTCGTGCAGGCGCACGTGAGACAGCGGCTCCCCGAGGTGGCCGGTCCTTTCTGTGCTGTCCATCTCATGGGAGCCAGGGAAGCTCTGCGTAGGCGGGTCCTCGAGTTGCCCTGGAATCTTGTGGCTGACCGGTCCTGCTCATTTCCCCAGCCAGCTTTGCCTGGCCCTGTCTCCTCTATCAGTCCCAAGGGTTGAATCCAGACCCTGCACACTGAGGTACATTCTCAGCCCCCTTCTTTAATTTTTTTTTAAGATAAGGTCTTGCTAAGTTGCCCAGGCTGGCCGCAAACTTGTGATCCTCCTGCCTCAGCCTCCCAAGGTGCAGGAACAGCAGCATGCACCCCCCTGTCTGGCGCCTTCCAGCTTTCAGCAGTCAGTTGATATCGGCAGGCTCTGGCCTCGGGTGTAGTCCAAGGGCCAGGAGCTGCCCTTGGCCCCTGTGTACAGGTCAGGGGCAGCTGGGTCCCAGGACCCCCACTGCCGAGGTCCCTCAGCGGGTGGCCGGGAAGCAAGGACAGAGACTGAGGCTGTACAGGCCTTGGCCCAGGGCAGACGGGCAGCTCCCCGTGTGGGGCGCCCCTCTGAAAAGGCAGGGCCCAGAGAGCACGTCCCCGTGCAGCGCTGCAATGAGTCCACGCTGGGGCCCACGTGACCACGTGACCTCGCGCGGGCTGCTCACCCAGGAGGCAGGCGCGAGGGCAGGAGTGGCGTCACTGGACGCTCGGCGTGCGGTTTCCCCGGCTGTCAGCGAGGAGGCCCGGGTGCCGCCCAAGGCTCCCCGTGCTGTGCACCGGCTGCAGGCGCGGCGTGGGCTGCAGCTCCCCCTGGCCGTGGCAGGCTGTGGGCTCCTCTCACCCCGCCTTCATTTTGTACTAGGGATGGAACCCAGGACCCTCTAACTGAGCCTCCTCCCCAGCCCCGTTCATGTCACGTACTCATTTCTTATTTCCAGGCGGGTCTCAGGAAACCACCAAGTTGCCCAGTGGACCCCCTCTTGCCATCCTCCTGCCTCAGCCTCCGAGTGCTGGGATTGTGGGCGTGGGTCACCGGGCCGGCCTTGGCGCTTGGCTCTTGTCATTCCGGGTGATGTTTGGCCTCCGTGGGGGGCTGACTCCGTCCTCTGCCGGCTGAGCACAGGGCGGGTGACAGAGCCCTCCTGTCACCCACCTGGCCTTTCCTGGGGCCAGCTGGGGGCAGAGACCCGAGAACACAGCCCTGGCCCCTCCTCTGCTGCTGCCCCTCCCCTGTGCCCGGGGATGGAGGGCTGGCAGGGCCCGGAGTGTGGAGATTCCCAGGCCGCCGGCCTGGAGGGGAGGCGACCCCTAGCCCCCAGCCCTCCTGAGCACCAGGTTCTCCTCTCCCACCTGTGTGCCGAGCAGCCTTTCGTGTTCTTTTTTTATCTTGCCAGCAGCGCATCTCACAGCCGGTCATTCCATTTCATTCCAGGTCTTCGGAGAGTGACATTTACATATTAATATTTTCTGGGAGCCGCGGCGGAGGCAGCAAGTGTCTGCTGCGTGGCCTCACATAATGCGAGGGAGATAAAGCGGCCGCTCCTCGGTGAATAACGACAAATGAAAGCCGCGCGGCCGTGAAAGACCCCGCGGTGCCCTGTCAGCATGTGGTACATCGCCCGACAACTGCTCGGGCGCCCCTTCCTCCCGGAGGTTTAGCTCTGCTCGCAGAGGACGCGCTCTTTGTCAAGGACTCTGCCTCCCGCCACTTCCTGCCGAGGTCCGACAGGGACGGGGCCACTGGCCTGAAACACCCAGCGGGCGGGCACGTGGCTGGAGCGGGCACAGCGGGCGCCGCCGGCAGGGTTATCGCTGCCCCGCAGAGCCTGGGCCTCGGGGTGCCGCGTGAGTGTGGGGCTCTGGTGGTGACGGCGGGGTCACTTCTCTCGGTCCCGGGTGGGAGAGAGCGGGGAGGGCCCTGGGCGCGGACAGGGCCGGTCTGGAGGCGTGGCCGCGCCGTGTGGACCGCGTCTGCCCCTGGGCACCATGCGCTGCCCCAGTGGGGAGCAGGGGCAGCCGGGCTGCTGAGTGAGACTCCGCTGCCCTGCTTGGCGGCGCATGGTGCATCCACGGTGCCTGGACAGCGTGAGTCGGGAAGACCGAGCCCTACGCCGTGAGATGCGCAGCCCCTCCCACCCCACGCCCCATTCTGCCCTGGGAGGCGCCGTGCAGGGGCGCCCGTGGGCTGCACCCGCCTGCCCCTCCCTCGCCCGTGACCACAGGCTGACCTTTGTGTGCCTCGGTTTCCCCCCTGGACAAATGATCTGGGACACAGTGTGTGTGGAGGGCCTGGAAACATCCCCGGGGTGGCCTGCACCTCCCCTCATGGCGTCACTCGTGCAGGGGAGCACGTGTGCCCTGTTCCTCTCTGGGCTGGGCTTGAGGCCTGGGGCCTGGGCAGGTGAGGCGTGGAAGGATCTCCTCGTGCGCTCCGACGTGGGGGTCCCGGAGACTCCCCTTGGGACCACAGTGCTGCAGGCTCCCAGCCCTCTCGACTACACAGGGTCACGGGGGGCTCATCCTGTGGGCGGCCTGGGCTGCTGGCACCAGATGCCACACACTCACTGCTCACCGTTCAGAAGGCTGGAATCCAGGCCCTGGGTGTTGGCGGGGCCTTCTCCAGGATGCTGGCTGCACTCTTATGTGGTGGTGGTGGATGGACCTCATGGCTTTCATACTGAGCTACATCCCCATCCCTTCTTAATTTTTTTATGTTGAGACAGAATTTTTTTTCCGTTAAGTTTATTGGGACAGGGCCGGGGATTTAGCTCAGTGGTTTCGTTCGCCGCCTGCTGCGCAAGCGCAGTGACCCGAGTTTGATCCCCGGTACCAAAAAAAAAAAAAGTTTATTGGTACATTTTAGGTATAAGATACAGTTACATTCATCATTGGGATCTTGTACCTTTACATGAGTATCTTGGTTTGAGACAGAATTTTGCTATCACTTCTCGGCCTTTTGGTTAAGATGAAGTGCAGAATTTTGCTAAGTCACTAAATTGACCAGGTTGGGCTGGAACTTGAGATCTCCCTGCCTCAGCTTCCCAGAGTGCTGGGACTGCAAATGTGTGCTTGGGCCTCTTTTGGAGGCTCCCTCTGCCGTGACTTCATCACCTCCCAAAGGCCCCTACTCCTAATCCCATCCCTTCGGGGTGGGGATCACAGCACAGGAACTGGGGGGACCCGAGAGGTGACAGAAGGACTGGGGACCTTGAGGGTTCTCCCCTTGAGTCTTGGGGCTTGGAGCCTATTTTCATTCCCGGACTCTCAGCGGCCAACAGCCCCTACTCTCACCCCGATTCTGCTCTCATTTCGAGCCGAGAAGGGGGCTCAGCGGGCCAGGGTGCAGCCTGGCGGTGAGGGCTCGCTGGCTCCAGCCCAGGATCACAAAACAAGGCCCCGGGTGCCCGCCATGGGCAGGGAGGAGCAGGCCGCCTCCCGCTGCAGGAGCCAAGGCCAGAATGGGCAGCAGCAAGACGGTGAGCAGTCTCCTGAGGGCTGGCGGTGCAGCCGGGGCTGGGCACCTTGGAGCCCGGGCAGCCACTTTGTCCACGGCATTCAAAAGGGCCAGGGGTCCACAGGTCATAGCTGCCCTGCAGTGCCCCGGTGCTTCCTGGGATGTCAGGGTGGCCCGGGACTGAGCAGGGCACCGGCCCCACCCGCAGCTGGCTTCCTGTCTAGATTGAGAGACAGCCTGGTACCCACACGTACTGCCCCTGCCCAGCTGCAAAGCCAGTTGCTGACGCTGCCGGGATTTGAGTGCCTGCCCTGCCTGCCTGGCAAGGGTCCTGCCTGAGGTCCGGCCAGGCCATGGCGGGCCTGGGTTCCACCCTTGGCTCTGCCCGCTGTAGCTGGGCCCTGGGCTTGCCCAGAAGCACTGTGGGGCTCGGGTGTTCCATGCACGCAGCTTCCCTGAAGTCCGCTTCCTTCTCGGGGAACACAGGTTCCGGCTCTGGGCCTCAGGCCGCAGGGAGGGATTCCAGCCCGGGAGAGGAGGGACAGACACGGGGTGCTGCACCCCACCGGTGGGAGCCCCAGAGGGGCCGCTTCTTTGTCTTGCTGTCCTTACCCGGAACACGCGGGGCTGGTGCTGGGCCCGGGCCCGGGGGTCACACAGGTTTGCCTGGCGCTGTGTGAAGATGCTCGGCTGCGTCTGGGAGGGGGCAGTCTCGGGCTTAACTCAGCACTGGTGACGGGCCACCTCCCACCTCTGGAAGACCCAGGGCTGTGGCCAGGCCAGGCCAGGCCAGGGATGCCAGCAGGTGTAAAAAGTCAGCATCCTCTGGGTGTGATAGTGCGTGCCTGTGATCCCAGCCCTCGGGAGGCTGAGGCAGGAGGATTTCAAGGTCAGTGTCAGCCTGGGCTACATAGCAAAACCTGTCTCACTAAAAACAGGCCCCTGGGGCCTGGTCCCAACCCACCCCCATGTGGCCCAGCGCCCCGTCTCTTCTCCAGCCCCCTTCCCAGGCAGGTGAATCCTGCCCAGCTGACCGTCCCCGGGCTCTTTTGTGCCTGGGAAAAACGCAGGGTTTGGAGTGCCTGCTGCTGAGCACCTGCCCTGGAACTCCTCTCGCAGTGACTCACAGTGGCTCATGGAGGGGCTCGTCCCACCCTGAGCACCTGGGGAAGGTGACATGCCAGCCCCTGGGCTGCAGGAGGGCTGCCCGCAGTCCTGTGCCTGTGAGCCATGTGCGTGCACCGTGCTGGGGAGGTGCACCGTGCTGGGGATGTGCATGCATGTCCACACGTGGGGGGGGGTGTGCACGCGTGGGGGGAGGGTCCCCACCTGAGGCTCAGGCTTTGTTACAGTCCCATCCCCGCCCACCCCTCCAGGAAGGTGCTGGGTAAATATTTGTTGACTGACTGCCTGATGAGATGGCCAGGCTGGGAGGAGCTGAGAAGCCTGGGGAGCGATCAGGGGCGGGGTGGCCGGGAGGGGCCAGGCGGCAGGGCTGATGCAACTCCCCAAGGAAATGGGCCGGGTGGGGAGTTCTGCTGCCTGGTCAGCCCCACCCTGCAGCTCCAGTTGGGTCCCCAGCAGGTCCCAGGCGGTTTGGCTCAGTGTCACAGGGCGGGGGTGGGGTGGGGTGGGGTGCTACCCCTGCCCGGCCAGCTGCCAGCTGTCACTCAACACAGGGAGGCAGCAGCCCTGGGAGGAGGCACAGGAGACAGGCCTGGAGCGTGTGTGTGTGTGTGTGTGTGTGTGTGTGTGTGTGTGTGTGTGTGCGCGTGCGCATGCGCGCACGTGGGCAGGGGGCTGTTGGCTCTGGGCAGAGGCCAGGGTTGCTGACTCAGCCTCCCTGCTGCCCACCTTGGAGGAGGCTGCTTGGGCAGCTCAGGAGACAGCAGTGCACCGAGTTGCTCTTGGGCCAGGCGTGGGGCACGGGGCTGTAATCCAGCACTCAGGAGGCTGAAGCAGGACCATTAGTGTCACAAGTTCGAGACCAGCCTGGGCTACATATTGAGGTCCTGTCTCACAAACAAAACAAAACACCCAAAAAACTAGACACAAAGATAGTCCCAGACACATGAGGCTCTGGTGAAGGCCGGTGTGCAGGGTCGGATGGGCCTGACTGGCCAGGAGGAGCCAGGGTTGCTGCCTGGGGGCAGTGCGTGGTCAGCTGGGACCTGTCAGAGACCCCTCTGGCCCTGGGGCTCAGCAGCAGGCACAGGGCCTTGGCCAGGCAGCTATTGGGGTGTTCCTGAGCTGTTGGAACTCCAGGGCAGGGTGCTCGGGGCCAGGCCTGTGGTCACCGGGAGAGGACCTGGGCTCGTTGGCCAGCTCCCAGCTGGCCGTCTGTCCACAGGAGGAGGGGAAGTTTCCTTGGGGAAACTGAGGCAGCCAGGCTGCACCTCCTCCCCACACATCTGGCTCCCTCTGCACCCGGGCCTGGAGGATCTGACAGAGAACCCCGGCAGCATGGTGGCTGACAGCGCGGCTTCCCCTCTCCCTGCCTGGCCTCCCTGCCCCTGTCCTAGCCTCAGCAGCCTGCCCTGGAGCCCCGGGCACTGGATTCTGGGTGGCCTGATGCTTAGTGGTTGCTGTAACTCTGACCAGACGTGCCACTCCATCCTGCACTGAGTGTGGGAGCAATAGTCAGAGGAGGCGTCACCATGGCCAGAGGTCAGAGCAAGGTCAAAGAAAGCTTCTTAAAGTGCTGGATTTCCTCACAGGGCTTCACAGGAAGGATAGGAGTTCACTTGGTGGGTGAGGAGGAGACAGCTTCCCAGGAACCGAGAACTCTTGTGTGAACTGTTTGGAGCGCACAGCAGGCAGCTCCTGCAGGGGGGGACTGGGTTCAGCTGCAGGGGTTGCCATGGCTGAGGGGCCCCAGCAGCAGGCCGAGCAGCTTGCAGCTGTTGGTGGCACCCCAGTCTTGTAGGCGGGGCACAGACAGGAAACGTAGGGAGAGCCTAAACAGCATGGCCGTGCACATCTATAATCCCAACGCTCTGGGAGGCTGAGGCAGGAAGACCTCAAATTCAAGCCCAGTCTGGGTAACTTAGCGAGATCCGATCTCAAAGTAAAAAAGAAAACCAGAGGGCGGGCTGGGGGGTGGCTGGGCATGTACTCAGTGCAAAAGTCCTGAATTCGAAGCCCAGCAACGCCAGATAAAAAAAATCACATTTAAATCTGAGTTCAGGCTTCAGCCACCTGGGTCCACGTCCCCTGGCACCAAGGGCAGGAGCCGAGCAGCCCGTGCCTCTGGGAGGCCGTGGGCCCCCAAGACCCCTTCCCAGGCCTCGTGGCCAGGCCCTGCCAGGTCCCTCGCCAGCACCT